GGGGCGGGGAGACCCCGTGGGGACCCCTTGGGGACCCCCTCTGCCCCCTAACCCAGCCTCTCGCAGTTCCAAGCCTTTTTCCTGGTGGCTGATGACATTATGGATGCGTCCCTCACCCGCCGGGGGCAGCTCTGCTGGTACAAGAAGGTGAGAGTGTTCAGGAGGCCCTTGTCTTCTGGGGGAGTGCAGGGGGTCCTGTGGGCTCAAGGCGATTTGTGACACCTCCCTGCTGTCCTGGTGCAGGAGGGGATCGGTCTGGATGCAGTCAACGATGCCTTCCTCCTCGAGTCATCTGTCTACAGGCTGCTGAAGAAGTACTGCAGGGAGCGCCCCTACTACCTGCACTTGCTGGAGCTTTTCTTGCAGGTGAGCCTGGCCTCTGCACTCTCCCCACGCAGATTTGCTCTGGGTCTGGGCCATTTTGGGATGTTTGGCATGAGGAGCCCAGACTGTTCGTTAAGTTCCTGGGCATCCCACTGGACACACACCCTTCCTGCCGAGTCAGAGAGGAGCTGAAATGGGGCATGTTGGGACTTTGGGGATCTACTTGAATAAATCCTTTCTTTCCTCTTCAGACTGGCTACCAGACTGAGCTTGGGCAGGCGCTGGACCTCATCACTGCTCCCATTTCCCACGTGGATTTGAGTCGCTTCAGTGAGCAGAGGTAAAGAGCTGGAAAGGGGCCAGCGATGCCAGCCCTGTGGTGGCAGGGTGGCTCTGCTTGCAGTCCCTTCCAGGCTGTGGAAGAGACGCAACAGGTGGTTGAAACGCTGCTGTCACCTCCCAGGCCTTGCAGGGCCCCCTTGTGCTGTCAGATCTTGGGGGCTGGAGGGAGATGCTGCTTTTCTCCTGCTGGCCCTGATGGAAGGGGAAGGCCTGAGCTCTGTCGCTGAGCAGGGTTCCTCTGCCACAGGTATAAGGCAATTGTGAAGTACAAGACAGCGTTCTACTCCTTCTACCTGCCCGTGGCCGCTGCCATGTACATGGTGAGTTTTATGGAAACAGTCATGGGAGGGTCCTGACCCGTGGTATGAGGCTGTCGTAGGAGGGCAGGGGGTTGGGAGAGGGGAGAAGTAAGGGTGGAAGGTTGGTATTGGAAGGTTTTGTTCCTTCCCCCTTCAGGCTGGTATTGACAGTAAGGAGGAACACGACAATGCCAAAGCAATCTTGCTGGAGATGGGTGAATTCTTTCAGATCCAGGTAGGAGGTGGTTCCCTGTCCCTCAGTGCATTTAAGACACTGTTTGTGGTACTCACATGTTCCCATCTCCATACAGGACGATTACCTGGACTGCTTTGGGGACCCAGAGCTGACGGGGAAGGTTGGCACTGATATCCAGGACAATAAGTGCAGCTGGCTGGTGGTGGAGTGTCTGCGTCGGGTCACGCCAGACCAGAGGCAGATCCTGGAGGTAATGCCACGGGGCTGACAAACCCCCTGAAGAGGGGGGAGAGAGACGGTGTGGACCTGAGGCTGTGGTGTAGCGGGAGCGTGGTGCTGTCACGTCCTCCTGAAAAGCGAGAAGGGCGGGTGGTTGTGGGGAGACGGGTGCAGGGACAGCAAGAGGTGACTCCTGCCACGCTTTGAACGAACAGCTGGGGCAGTTCAGCCTGACTCATTCTGCTGTTTTCTCAGGAGAATTATGGCTGTAAGGAGCCCGAGAAGGTGGCGAAGGTGAAGGAGCTCTACGATACTCTGGGCATGAGGGCTGCTTTTCAGGAGTACGAGGAGAGCAGCTACCGGCGCCTGCAGGAACTGATCGCCAAGCACGCCAACCGCCTCCCCCGGGCGATCTTCCTGGGCCTGGCTCAGAAGATTTACAAGCGGCAGAAGTGATTGGGGGGGGGCCTGGCCGTGGACTGTGCTTGGCCTTTGCTAAGGGCCCTGGTGGGCTTGGCCCCCCACCAG